TTTAGAAGACTTGTCTTAGGTTTACTTAAGACATGAGTTTTGCTACTTATTTAAAAACTTATCTTTAGAAGGTATCTTTTTGGAGGCAATAATTGGAAGCTTAGAAAAGTTAAGGTCAGTTAAAAGCTTTAACTTTTGGAATAATTGAAATCATTCTAATTTTAGCTGTCTAAATGTACTCTTTCTGAATGTATTAGCTATTCTTTAAGCCACTTATTGAAGAAACTAATAGTATTCATTACCAAAATTGGATCCTTGTTAAGTGCCTCCAGGTACAGGGACCAAAAAAGAAGGCACTAATTAAAGTGTATAAAATAGGGAATTGAAGTACTATGTAAAATAGGAAATCTAGATTTTAAAAAGAGCATCCTTCGGATGCTGTTCTACAGTGAATACAGAATTAGAAGGTTAGGTGCATTTCATGAAACAGAACTACAGATTCTATATTTGGAAACAAACAAACACACAAAAAGCAAGCAAGCAAGCCAGTTATGAGTGATTTCCTTTGCATGAATCTGATACAAGTTGCAATCAGAGACTTAGGGACCCCAGGAGCCATTTCCACACCCCTGCCCCCACTTGTGGGTAGAAACTATTTGACCTGCACGAAAAAGACAACTGCATCTTTCTTTAATTTTCATAATGCTACATTAGAATTAAGCATCAAAGACAAAATTTGAAAATTATGGTAAAATATAAAGTATAACTGGCTCTTTAAAAATAAGCATAAAGTTTTCATTGGTCTCATTATTATCTCTGAACTTTGAATAAGAGTTGTATAGCGTTTTACCATTTGCAAAGTACTTTCACATTTGAAATTTGATCCTTATAACAATCCAGAGAGTTGGTAGATCAAATATTTCTGTCATCTTGGTTTCAAGATGCAGAAATAGTTCCAGAGAAATTAAATGACTTGCCTAAGATTTATACAGCAAGGAAGTTTTTAAATCCAAAAATGACGCTCTTTCAACTGGTATATCCTTAAAAGACAGAGCCTAATAAGCTTGTTACATTTTGTTATCACATAGATTCCACAGAGATACACATTATAATGATCTTTTCTATACTCTTTAGCAACTGAACAAGAGATTAAATAAAGCCGGCAACATCCTTCAGATGTGTGATTTGAGCATGGCTTGAAAATTATTAGCAAAGTTACCTGGGTTGTCTTCTATCGTGGGTCCTCTGTGAATGCAGTTGACTGACTGCTGGGTAAAACTGGCAAAACATTAGGTTAGCTGAGCAATGTAAAAACATCCACTCTAAGTCCTTACCTTGTAAGGGGAACCAAGCCAGCAAACTGAAAACTCTCCACCACATATTGTGCTGTGCGGCTGTGGCACTTTGTCAGCTTCCTCTAGGTACCGAAATAAATGGAGCTGCGAAGTTTCTTTTGAAGGGAGAGAGGCAGTAGGTTTGTGACCTCACGTATATCAACTCCTCCATCTGTCTGGGAGCCCCCTTTTACATAGCTGCCCCCAAAACACCTCCTGCTGGAAACATTTCAGGGACCACAAGTGACATCTTGATTGTGGAGAAGTGTGAGTGATATGTTAGTGGCAAAAATTGTTCTACCACAAGTGGGTAGTGCTGGTAAGTTGACTAGTTGCAAAGTTTTGGGGGAGAGGAAGGGTGGGAGGGAAACTAAAATGTCCCTGTGCAGTGCTGTCACCCTTATTTTTACTTTTCTAGTTGACTAGATAATTATAATTAGACAATTTTGCTCAACTCTTGGGAATATTTTATATTTCTAACTCTGGTAACAATCTCTAATGGTTACCAGGGGATGAATTCATTCATTCACATATTTACTCATTTTTGAAATCTGTATATCTGTCTACCCATCCATACATCCATCTACCTACTCACCTGTTCATCCATCCATCCATCCATCCAGCCAGCCAACCACCACCCACCTGTTCATCCATCTATTCATTTATCCTTCCTTCCATCCATCCATTCATCTCTCTCCACCTATCCAGCATCTGCTATGCACTGCTCTAAGACGTGATCAGATATGAAACATAAATTCTTTGTCTTTTAGGAGAATATGATTTGTTGGGGGAAAAATATTCAAATGAATAACTTTGGTGTTTAATTTTCATTCATTGGGCAAACTGAGATAGACTTTATTTCATTTTTACAGGGACACACAGCAAAATATAATACTACTAGACTTATGTTTAGAAGACAGAGATCAGTCTGCAATGTTTGGAAAATTGTAAAGAAAATACTACTTACAGGTTCTAATTGAAATTGGTTTTAATATTCCATAGATTTGTTGATAGTTTGGGTAGGGAAAACCTTACCCATCAGAAATATCTTTCAAATGTTTTACCTAGTTTAACAGGTATAAAGAGAATGAAAAGAAAAGAGAGGAGACAAAGTAGGCCTATCTTAGAGAGCTTAGCAGGATATAATATCTCTCAAATTGTATGATGATATGAATGCCTTAGGTCTTTAACTAAAAAACAGATTACTAGGGTCCACCCACGTAGATTAAGTGAAATTCTCTCTGGAATGGGAGCCACCTGTATGTTTAACAAGCTGTCCAGGGATCATAAGGCAAAGAATGAGTAAGCTGTGTTGTATCTTTTTGAAAAATGAAGAATTAAAAAGTTTGCCTCAAATGACATTGTGATTCAGTGGTAAAACTGAGAATACAATCCAAGATTTTTAAGTGTGTGTGTGTGTATATACACACATATATATACATACATGTATATACACATACATATATACATATATACACACATATATACATGCATGTATATTGTTTATTCCCCTCTTTACCCATGAGATTCCTTTCAGGGACTTCTAATTTTTATATTTAAGGCATCATGGGTATCTAAACATTTTATTTTCCTGCTAATGTCCTGTCCTTACTTTGGATTGATGCTTTATTTTTGCACCTTGTCCCCTACTCCCTTAATAACACCCAGGGAAAGTGAGTGTAATGTCTCTTTCTTTTCCTTTCTCTTACTAAGACACAAATCAATCATGATTATGTTATTCTTCGGCTCAAAAACTTTCAGTGGTTCCCTCTTCTGTGAACATTATAGTCCAAACTCTTTAGCAAATCATTCAAGACCATTCACACCCTCACCCCAATCTATATTTCCAACCTCCTTGTCCACCACTCCTCCAAATATACCCATAGAAAATTGCTTGTCATTTTTCAAGCATACAGTACATATTCATAATCATAGTTCACACTGCTCTCTCTGTCTAAAATGGCCTTTTATCCGTGAGAGATTCTATACATCTTCCGAGGCCCAGATCAAATGTGCTACTTCTCAGAGAGGAGTAGTAACTAGTGATTAAGAGCATGGACTGTAGAACCAGTCTCTCTGAATTCAAAGTCTTAGTTTTCTCACCTGTGAAATGGGCATATCACAGCACCCACTCACGTGGTGGTTGTGAATACTAAAGGGGCTAATGTCCTTAGTGTCTGGCACACAGTAAGTACGATAAAAAAGTTAGCTGTCACTATCCTCTATGCTCCCGGAAAAATCAATTCCCTACTTTTCTTTGCTCCTATAATAGTTTCTTTCTTTTTATTATACTAATTTTTATTCTGATTTATATTGTATTTATTTGACTATCCATTTATTTCCCTTGCTAGATTCTGAACTCTCTGGTCGCAGAGTTTGTTTCATATTTCTCTAGTATTTCCAAGGCCTGGCACAGACTTTTTTATAGTATAGTTGATTTTAAGTATCTTTATTGGCCAGGCACAGTGGCTGACACCTGTAATCCCAGCAACTTTGGGAAGCTGAGGTGGGAAGATTGCTTGAGGCCAGGGGTTTGAGACCAGCCTGGTCAACATAGTGAGACTCTGTCTCTAAAAAATAAATAAAATGTTCAACGTGATAAATTTTTACATATGCATACACCCATGAAATCATCATCACAATCAAGATAGATATGTGCTGCGACCTGAGTATTTGTGTCTTCCCAAAATTCATATGTTGAAGCTTAATCCTCAATGCGATTAGTATTAGGAGACAGGGCCTTTGGGAGGTGATTAGGTCATGAGGGCAGAACCCTAATGCCCCACTAATGAATGGCATTAGTGCCCGTATAAAAGTGGCCTGAGAGAGCTTGTTAGTCCCTGGCCTTCCACCTTGTGAGGACACTTCAGGAAGACACCATCTGTGAGGAACAGGTACTTATCAGGTGTCAAATCTGCTGGCGCCTTGATCTTGGACTTTCCAGCCTCCAGAACTGTAAGCAATATATTATTTTGTCTGTTTATTACCCAGTCTGAAGTGTTTTGTTATAGAAGCCTGAACGTACTAAGATGGTAGCCATCACCCCCCAATTTCCACCTGCCTGTCATAATCCTCCCTCTCACTCCTCACCTCCCCTCTCCAGCAGCCTCCGATCTGCTTCTTGTCATTGTGCATTAGTTTTCATTTTCTAGAGTTTCGTATGAATCATACAGTATGTACTTTTTTTGTTTGCCTTCTTTCATTCAGCATAATTATTTATAATTACATCCATGATGTAGTGTGTGCCAGGAGTTCATTGCTCTTTGTTGCTGAGGAGTATTTCATTACAGGAATATACCACGGTTTGTTTACCCACTCACCTATAGATGGGCCTGTGGGTTACTTCCTATAGTATAGCTTTTAATAATTGTTTATTAAATTGAATCAGTTGTAGGGTAACTTCAAAGGGAATCTGGTTTGTTCCCACAATTGCTTTTTGTGATAATCTAATTCAAAGGGAAGGTTTCAGGTTAGCAGGGGGATTTAATTAAACATTGGTCCTTAGTTGGCGCTTGGGGTGTATTTTCTGATGAGCCACCAGATTCCCTCTTTGGCACGGAAGCACTATGTCCCCCAGCATTTGGAAGGATGGGACATGTCAGCTGGGTCCCTCTCTGGAGGCTGCCCTAGTGGAAAAGAACCAGCTCACCCAAGGTCACGCCTCCTCTGTGGGGCAGCCATGCGGGTGTCTAAAGGTCCTGTCCCCTTGCCTCAAGATGCAAGAGCAACTCTGAAGGGAAATGCTTCAGTTCCAGAGCTCCCCAAGGGACCAGGATCAGCTGAGATCCTTGTGACTGCATCTCAGGCCAGCCCAGCCCTTTCTACCCCATCTTGCCTCCTTCTTGTCACCGAGAACACTCACCTATAAACTTCTGTGCACAAATTTCTGTCTCAGTCTCTGTTTTCCAGGGAACCTGACCCAGGACAGCACTCAAAATAGGTTGCCAATGAGTGAGTGAATGAAAGAATGAATGGGTTCTCCATTTGAGATGTAAACATTCCTCTTTTTGCTCTGAAGTCTAAAAAGATGTTCGATTTATAATTTTTCCAGAGCATTAAAGAAGAGCTTACTCTAAATGGCACTTTGGGCAATGGTGAGTGTGTCTTATTCACCCACGGGTTGCTATTCAACTGATTGAAAACCTTGACAAATGTCACAATAGTCCGCTGGACTCGGAGATCAAAAACGGCCCGTGGGGGAAATGCTGTAAGGCTCACGTGTGGATGACATGCATGCACTTGGGGTTTGCACGGTCCCTCCTACTCTTACCACCCTCACCTCAGTCTGCAGCCCACGGGGCATTCTACGGTAGGGCAGCAGCCTGCGGCTGCTCAGCAGATGGAGAGAAAAGATGAGGTTGGAGTGTGGTGGTCAGAGAGAGACCTTCTACCTATTTTCTAATGGGAAAGTGTCTGCTGACCACCTTGTATGTCATGACCGATAGCTGATTTGTCACTTTAATCCCCGTTTTATAAAATCCTCATATTATGTTTCAATACTACTAGGGAGTAACATTAGATAGGGTGGCAGAGGGGGGACAGATTTTTAAAGAAATAAACAAACATCATATTTTTCATTACCTTGGTCAACCTGAGATGTCAGTGGGGAAAAACCTGAAAAAGAAGACATTTATTAAAAAGGCTAAAGATTGACTGTTTTAAGGGTCAGAAAACAGGGGATTTCCTCATTTGTAGAAGTCACTGGGGTTTTTTGTTGTTGCTGTGGCAATTACAAGAGGGGCCTACACTTTCTTCTTGACCTTTAATGGCTCCTGTGTAGAATCCTGGCCTTCCCCAAGGCCAGGGTAAGAGGCATCTCCCGGCAGGTGCCTCAGCTAGTTCACGCCCGGTGTCGGGATTCTCTGAGCGCTGCTGTGAAACACACAGTGACCGTGGAGTTTCTAAGCCAGAGC